CAGTCTGCAACGTACTGAAGCACAAATGTGTATTTAACGATGACTTTTGTACAAGAAATTCCATACTTTCCGTTGTGTTCAGGACAAGTGTGAGTCCATGTGCACAGTGTATAAAGCAGCACATATGTTTCTGTGTCCAGTGGAAAAAAGTTTTTCCAGGTGAGAGTCGCTCAATGTGGATGACGAGTCCCCACCTCCCTCCCCCCGTACGGTGTCCTGGTTTTGACAAACGCAAATCTGGTCACACTGACCTGTATTCACCTGAGTCATGTCTTTTAATCCAACAGAAATTGAACCACATCAGCGACACAAGAGCTGGAGTTTTATCTTCACTTAGTTTATGCAAATTAGTGATGTGGTTTTAAGTTTCGTTTCTGTGAGAGTTGCACAAAACTGAATTAAACACATTATGTCAAACGGGCTGATGTGGCTCTAGAGTCGTTATGGTTTATATGTTGTAAAGTTGAATTTATTTATTCAGATTAGTAGTGCAGATAGTAATAATAATGATGATCATTTTAATATAAAAACATTAATGATTAATCGATAATTGTTCGTTAATTTGTCCGACGATCGATTAAGAAAATTTCATCGAATGCCCATCCCTAGTCATGAGCAAACAGCAGCAGGTGGTTAAATAAAACAAAGTCCCTGCCTACCGTCGAGAGAACAAATCTTAATGCTACAAGGTCAGACGGTTTCTAAGAAGTGAAACCGTCTGATGAATCAGGCGAATTGGACGACATTCCACTTGTAGATGTGGCTGCGTCTTAATCTCGAGGTTATTTCCATATGATGAAAATGTTATGCAACTACATCTAATTCTGCCTTAATCATTTGGCGCTGTGAGCTTGTTAAGGTAAAATAAGGTAATTGGCCGTATATTAAAGGCGTTATATAATGATCCTATAGCACTGCACACAGCTTCTCTAATAGAGACGTTTCAGACTGAAGTGGAGGGGGCGTCCTGGGATTAGTGTCTGAGCTCTGAGCCCAGCAGGCAGCACACGCACCAAGCCTTTCAACTATCTGCTCCTCTCTCCCCCTCCTTCTCTCACTCTTTCCCATCCCTCTCTCTTTCCCTCTTCCTCCCTCTATCTGACTCTCACTCCTTTCATCCTCGCCTCCTATTTCTCTCTCCTTGTTCCCATCTCTTTCCCGCTCTCTCTTTCTGACTCTCTCTCCTTATCTCCCTTTCTTTTTATCCTTTCATTCTCCAATCTTTTCCCTTCCTCTCTTCTCGCTCTGCCTTTTTGTGTCGCTTTTTCCCTCTCTTCCTCTTTCTTCTCCACATACACACACTCTCCTCACTCCACCTCTCTCTCCGTCTCGCTCTCTCTCCATCTCTCTTTCTCTGTTATCTCTGCACAGTTCACTTCAAAGGGAAATGAGGGCACAGGGTATGTTCTGGGAGGCAGAGTGCAGGGAGAGGGCACAGGCTAACATCTGGAGTGTCTGTGTGAAAACGGGATCACGAGGTTACGATGAAAAGCTGCGACCGTTCACCAGCAGCCACAGCATTATGACCACACTTCAATCCTGTACGACGCAAAACAATACACGATTTTTTTTTTAAACACAGTTCTATGTTTTGTTCATTCAAAACAAATCATTTAGTGGAGGAGTTCAAGTATCTCGGGGTCTTGTTAGTGGGTGAGGGGAGGATGGAGCGTCAGATTGACAGGCGGATCGGTGCAGCGTCTGCGGCGATGCAGAGTGTGTGTGTGTGTGTGTGTGTGTCAGATGCTCTCCCAGCGTGTGCAGTGTTGCGGTTGCTGTATCGGATCGTTGTGGTAAAGAAGGAGCTGAGTCTTAGCCTGATTCATCAACCAGTTTCACTTTGTGGAAACCGTCTGGCCTCACAGTATTAGAATTTGTTCACTCGACAGTAGGCAGGTACTTTTTTCATTTAACCAATCGCTGCTATTTGGTCATGACCTGTGTTATGCGCCACTAACGGGGTTAACTGGTATATTAAGCTGTTCCCAAATCCCATAAGAAGGACAATAACATCTTTCCCCCTGATAAAATTCACCAAACATTCTCTGTATTCTGGCTTTAAAACCTCGATCTCTAGAATCGTTGACAACACAGAATGTCTGGCTCTTCGCTGATTGGCTGGTGCCCGAACTTGCACAAACCAGGGTTTTTGCAAACTGTCTAGTGTATTCTGATTCCTGACTGAGTCGCTGGAGAGAAATGAAACTGAGTGGAGGCACTAGGTGGCACCAGCCTGACTAGCTGAGTCCATAGGCAAAGCTCCAAATTTACAGCTCAATCTATGTTCTACCTTCACTTATGGTCATGAGTAGGGCTGGGTATCATTAAGAAGTTACCGGTACATACATACCCTAGTACACAGGCAACAATACCATACATATCTTGATACAGTGCACTTTTGATTCAATATGATATATATCTCAAATCGATTTGATACCGTTTCATAAAATATAAAGGCAAAGTTCATATGAAACAAACATTTTAATCCTCAAAACAGTGAAAATGTCAAATGTGTCACATAAACAAGTTTCCTTCCTCGTTCAGGGATTTGAAGGATAAATAACAGCTGAGAAACATTATTGGATCTCTTTTGTAATAAGTTAACTATGTTAGGAAATAAAAGTATCGATATTGGTACTGAAAAGGCTGGATCGTGCATCCCTAATTTAAATATAGGGTTTGTATCTGTGTGTGATGCTAATATAGATTAGTCAGGCTGGTGCCACCTAGTGCCTCCACTCAGTTTCATTTCTCTCCAGAGACTAGGTCAAGAATTAAAATACACTAGACGGTTCACAAAAACCCCGGAAGTGTGAGTCCGGGCACCAGCCAATCAGAGAAGAGTCATATATTCTGTGTTGTCAACGATTCCCGAGATCGAGGACTTAAAGCCGGAACAAAGAATATTTGGTGAATTTTATCAAGGGGAAAGACGTTATTGTCCTTCTTCCTATGGGATTTGGAAAAAGCTTAATATACCAGTTAGCCACGTTAGCGGCGCATTACATACATCATGACCAAATAGCAGTGATTGGTTAAATAAACAAAGTACGTGTCTACTGTCGAGTGAACGACTCCTAATGCTGCAAGGTCAGACTTTCCACGAAGTGAAACCGGCTGATGAATCAGGCTAAATATAGATGACTGTTACCTGTATTTATTTGATGATGTCATATTTTCAGATGGAGGGCAGGGCTCTATGACAGATTTACTGTTTTTGAATTGTGAGGTTAGGGATTGGCTCCACAAACTTGCCATATTAATCAGATCGCTTAAAGTCAGTGATAACAATGTTTGGGTTTAAATAATGATGGCACCAGTTTCTGCAGTGATTCTCAAGTTAACTTCTACCCTTTAACTTTTGTTTAGTGGAGCAATTCCAGGGCTGAAATGATCTAAATGATTCTAGTGAAGGTGTGTGGAGTTTGAAAACACAATGGAGCATTTCCTGTATGACATGACATCACAGTCTTCAGTTTGAGAGAAAAACATAACTTAAATATGGAGGGTTTGTGTGTTGTGTGAAAAATCAACTCCAGGTCCATGATAAGGAAACAGATCATAAAACAGCGTAATAGTATTTTTAGCTCAGTATTTTGTATATTTCTGTGACTTTGCTCTGCAGCAATAAATCACACTTATAAACAGTTCCTATTGAAATCAGTGTTCACTTTGTTTGGCCAATGAAATGCATTGAAAAGAAGTTACACTTGATTTTGTGACAAGTGCAGACTGTGTAAATGATGGTCTTGTTAAAACTGTATCACGTACTGTGCAATTTATTACACGTGTGACAAAAGGGAGTGTCAACCCTAAAACCTGTGATCGCAGGTTCCATGTGTTCTGTGCACAATTAAGTGCTCCACAAACCTTTTTGTCTTCTGTAAACCAGGTGACAAATCCTGTAGATATGCCTTTCTACACTGCTTTCTTAAGCAACATAGATACTACATCTTCTACTATGAGTTTTAAAAAAAGAACCAAAGTTGATCATCTGTTGTTCTTGTCTGGAGTCTCATACAGAATATCTTATGGGAGTGTTTTAGTGATACACATTAAAGGGGCTGTACATGCAGTGTTGGGGAGTAATGGATTATATGTACTGGAGTTACATAATCAGAGGACAAATGTATGTATTATTAACTGTATTCAGTTACAGTTACTGTTTCATTGAGTGGTAATTGGATTACAGTTACTTTGTTGAAATAAATGGATTTTTCTATTCTCACATTTGGGCTATATCCCTTTTTTTTTTTTTTTTTTTACTTCCCCCGGTAATTACACTCATTGCCGGACACCAAACCAGGTAAAACCAGGTCAAAACCAGGTCTAAAACCCAGGTCCAAAACCCAGGTCCAAAACCCAGGTCTAAAACCCAGGTCTAAAACCCAGGTCCAAAACCCAGGTCCAAAACAGGATTTATCAGGACTACATCCTGCTGTGTTGACGTGTCTCCTCGTCTTCTATCAATAATATTTTTTATTTGGTTTAGTAAAGTCTGGGCTTTTTATTTTCTTTTAGCAGACAAAACATCTTATGTGTAGATTTCCTCGTCTTTGCTTCTCTAAAGCAAACCAAGTAATCCAAAGTATTCAGATTACGTTACTCACTAAGTAATTTAATGGATTCCATTACAAACTTTTGGGGTCTGTAATCTGTAATCTGTAGGGGAATACATTTTAAAAGTCACCTTCCCAACACTGTGTACATGAGGCTGTTAAAGGGGTTATGTATGTCCACTGTGTGCTATCTGTGTTTATAACACACAATTAAACATAATTATAAAGCACTTTATCCTTAGGAGAATCAGGAAGTGCATTGTTAGTAAGCTAGTTTCTTTTAGCTTTACTGTGATTAATTAAGATGAATGAGCTGAGGATGTTAGGAATACGCTTGGGCCGCTGCAAACTGCCCAAGATGAACTAGTTCTGTTTGTCACATTTTTAAGAGAGAACCATGTGATTTTGAAACATGGACGTAGAAGTGTGAGTCGTTCTTACCTTCTTCCCTTCTCCGTAGATCAGAGGAAACTTCAGGTCTTCGTCATCGATGGTTTTGTAGGCCCTGTGCACACAAACAACAGGCTTTTGGAGGCTTCGGTTTATGGAGCACAGCCTGCACAGTTCAAGCTACTTTTTCACTGTATTTCAGATGAAAAATTCTGTCTGGAACTTTTTTAAATTTTCATTTATTTTCAAGGCAGGGCACTACACAGTACACTATACATTAATATCACTAGTACACAGAGGTACTACCATGTGTACCTCTTCATTTTAGTCTATGAAAGCTGTCTGCACTAGATTACTTTCAGTGATCAAAAGTGGCAAAGACCTTTTTAAAAGTTCTGTTGCTTTGGCTTTGTAAATCAAAAACAGTGTAGAGGCAAAAGGTCCATCTGATGTGGACGCCATTTTGAATGCTCAATATAAAAGATGCATCATGTCCAGGGTTCCTACAGATTTCTTCCAGTTAAATTCAAGTGTTCTGAAGACCTTTATAAGACCATTTATATTGTCAAGTCTTTAATTACGGAATGCAGGTCCTGAAAAACCAGGAAAACAGACACAAGGCTCAACTCATCTTGAAGATTTTTATTGAAATAGTTCAGTTCCTTTAGTAGTAGTACTAGTACTAGTAGTACTAGTAGTAGTAGTAGTAGTAGTAGTAGTAGTAGTAGTAGTAGTAGTAGTAGTAGTAGTAGTAGTGGTATTTGTAGCAGTAGCAGGTCAAAAACCTTTAAAGTAACAAATATGCGTAATAATTAAATTAAATTTACATTTTACAATTTCATTAGTAATATAATCCATTTGAATTTTAATTAATATACTTCAATTATAATATTGATATACAATTATTACACTATTTATATCTAATATTTTTGTAATATTTATTTATAATATTAATATACATTTTACACATTGGTTAAAATTGTAGCTATTTAAGTTAATGTATCATTTTACCAATAAATTCTTTTATCCTAAATATAACTTATTTTTATACAATTTTAAATGACTATATGAAATAAATGTAATATTTTATTATTTTAAGACAAATTTTAATGAATTAATAAATTGTTTTTAATTGCCAAAAAAAAAAAATATATATATATATATATATATATATATACTACTTTACTAATACTACTAATACTACTTTAACTTAGATTTTACACCATTTACCTTAAATCAGATTTTTTACTTTATATTTAAATAATCAAATGCCAATTATCAAATGATTTAGTTATTCAATTTAGCTTTATTTAACATGTTCAAAACATAAACTTGAATTTATTTACTAATCTACTTTCATAAAATAAATCAGCCAATTGTATTTAAACTTAATCTAGGCTTCTCATTATACTTCAATTAAACAGAATATTCATTTTACATCTAAATTAAAGAGATTACTTCTGTATGGGTTTTACCACCATTTTTTACTATTTTAACTAAACTTAAAAACTAATTTTACAGGTTAATTTCCTCACCGGTGTTTTCCTTCACATTCCTTGGTTTGGTTTGGTTTGTGTCTGCACACCTGGGCCTAATCAGAGACACACCTGTTCACCTGGTTTTCCTGCTGCCACCTACTGGCCACACTAAAAATAACCTCATCAACTCATCAAAAAGGGGAGGGGAAGAGAGGTGAAGAGGAAGAGGTGAGAGGAGAGGGGCTCAGGAGTGGAGGTGAAGACTTGGAGCAGAGGGGCTGGGCTTTTTGACTTGACACAAACACTTAATACCTATTTCACGGCCTATTTCATAGACCTATCAGCAAAGAAAAACTAAATTTGTGTTCATTTCTTTCTCAAACAAAGGAATATTAAGAGTAGAGAGACTCTTCGCCATAACCCAGCATGAAATGGGTCACTCTAATGTAAAACCAATGTTAAAAAAACAACAACTTTGTATTCTTTGATTTTATGAGCTTCTGCTTCACTTGTTGCTTGTCTTGCTGTAGCACGTGATCATCAGTGACGTGTTTGTTGAGTATTTTGACCAGGGGCTGCCTTCTGTTAACAATTATTTGTTCTTTATTTAGGTGACATCATGTAACCAAATAATGGTGGTTAACAAATTCAGCTTTTGAGGAAAAATGATACGGAAGAGTTATGTGCTGCACAAATTTTAAGACCCAGATATAAAAATCCAAGACTTTTTCCAAATCTTATTAAGGTATTATTTCCAAATTCATAAATTCAATGCTTTTAAGACTTTTTAAGACACCGTGGGGACCCTGCATGACACTTTCCTGTAGATCAGGGGTGCTCAATACGTCGATTGCGATCTACCAGTCGATCGCCAAGGTCGTGTGGGTAGATCGCCGTGTCTTGTCTCGGACTCGTGTTTGGACTCGGTCTTGTCTCTCACTCGAGGTCTGACACTCAACAAGTGTGATCATATTTCATTCCGGCCGCTGCTGTTGGTAATAAACTTGTAGCGGGTGCAGGAGCGTGTGGGGCGTCTCAGTGCAGCCTGTGCGCTCATTTGAAACCCGCGGAGACTCTACGGCACATCACAAACACACACGCTCCCTATGCACGGCTCGTCTGCGACAGCGTGTGCCCTCGTGTACCAGCGTGCATCACAGGGCAGGTTCAACTTCCTAAACATCCTACCTGTCCACCCGCCTCACGTCAGCACGCCGCCCCTCGCCTTTTCACGCTCTCGCTCCTTCCTGCGTACAGCGAACACAAGCCCCTCCCACAGTGCGGCTGATTAGAAGAACAAGACCAAACGTGAAGCAAAAACCAGTCTAAATTTGTGTTCCAGTGTTGGCACAAAGCAGGTCTACAGCATAGAGCGGATCTACAGAACAGACCTACTGCCACATTTGGCTGAAGTTTGTCTAACAAAAGTGACAAATGCATCTGTGTTTGTCACGATGTGCGTTTGGTTTGGTAAAATGTGCAGAGGCTGGTAAATATCACTGCAAAACCAGAAAAGAATGTAACTCCAGTTTGGAACTTTAAAAAACAGGTTTAAAAATCTTCCTTCACTTTTTTCACAGTTTTGTGTAAAGTGCCAGAGGAAGTTCTCTTAAAGAAGAGGTTCTCAAACTGTGGGGGAGGGTCCAAAAAAGGGCCACAGAGTGTTTCAGTGCAGTTTGCTTGGCTTTGTATTAGGTAGATCATTTTGACTTGGTCATTTTGTAAGTAGCTCCCATGCTGAAAAAGTGTGAGCACCTCTGCTGAAGAGGGTATGGCACCTGCTCGTCTCCATGGAGATGTTATTACTTTCCGTAGAATGTTCCACACTATGGCACTAAACAGATCTGTGTTCATGCAGGCAGATCAGACATTCTGTAGAAGTGACCCCACTCACGGTTTTTCAAGGTACTATTCAGCACTTAAACACTTGACATGCCCTGCAATCATTTTAAGAAAGTATGTTTATTGTCATACTTTAGGACATTTATAAATGGCATCATCTCCACGGACGCCTCACAAAAGAAATGAAACATCTATCAACAGGAATGTTTTAAAAAGGTAAAAGCTGAAATATTTCGGTCCACTCCTTGTATACCAAACGACATGGCCAAACATTGCATTCAGAAGCACACAAACATTTTTAGAGAGAAATCCTGTTAGCTCCTGTAGGTGCACACACAGTATTTGCCTATAGCCTAAGTGTAATTACTTTGGGCGTGTTATCAAATGTGAAGAGTCGGCGGGGCAGATTAGCAGAAGCAGGGCTGGTTCTGACATCAGAGAAGCGCCACACACACACACACACACACACACACACACACACACACACACACACACACACACACACACACACACACACACACACACACACACACACGCACACACATACACACACCATATGTTCTATCAGAGCTGAGTACTGCAGCCTCAGCACTTTGAGTACAGAGAGCCACCAACCACCACGCAACAAAGAACAGTCTGCAGCCCCACAGGCAAAAGGACGAGGACAGAGGCTCCCGTGCTCCAGGTTTTCTGCCAGTACTCAGATCTGGTATTTGTCATGCTGTTGTGGCCGAGAACTGGTATTTGCCGATGTCGATATCAATATTTTAAAACACTCGGTGCCGATTATGATACCACAATGAACGATATAACATGCTTTTTTTTTTTTTACAAAAAAAATTCATGCACAAAATAACAGAACTTTCTTTATCTTAGCGTGAAGTGTTATATTTCTAAAGGAAAGCTCAAATATTAACTCTTGTTGAAGTGATTTTTTGCAGTATTGATACTTGCTGTTTCAGTGTTTGATACTTGCAAATAAGTATTTTCAATGAGTAATTTGAATACTAGTTTTAATATCGATTAGTATCTGATTTTTGGTTATTTTTACCAACTCACCCAAATCTATAGGAAGGTCCCAAAATTGAAGTAAAGCAGTGGTTAAGTTCTTTCACCTTTATTCAATAATGTATTTATCTGATTTATGTGATTTGAAAGAGCTCTGTCTTTGTTTGTCAAAAATACTTAGATAAACATCTTACTTTAAAAAGCATTTTTGGTTCTAAATTGAATTTTAGGTTTGACTGTAGACTTGGTTTGGTCTTGTTCTAGTCTTGTTCAGGTCGAGGTCTAGCCCAGGTTTGGGGATTTTGTTCTGGAATAGTTTCAGTTCTTATTTTGTTGTGATAGAAATGTTTTCCTGCACTTGGCATGTATTAAGAGTCTCTGTATACTGCACTTAACAATTATTGTTCATTCATTTTAATATTATCCTTACCAGACATTGTATCTCTCCAAGAAAACCTTTGCATAGCTGTCCAAATAAACTCTTTTCAATGCTTGATTTGATTTAATCAATTCTTGCTTGCAAAAAAACTGTTTTAACTTTTACAATTTTCAACTATATTTTCCACTTGAATAGTTCAATTGGAAGCTCTTACCCTGCTCATGGTTGAACATTCTGAGTGTGTTCCACAGTACTACACAATACTACACAGTACTACACATTGTTACACAGTGTCACACAGTACTACACAGATGTACAGTGATGTACAGTGTCACACAGGGTTACAGAGTGTCACACAGGGTTACAGAGTGTCACACAGGGTTACAGAGTGTCACACAGGGTTACAGAGTGTCACACAGGGTTACAGAGTGTACAGTACAGTGTCACACAGGGTTACAGAGTGTCACACAGGGTTACAGAGTGTCACACAGGGTTACAGAGTGTCACACAGGGTTACAGAGTGTCACACAGGGTTACAGAGTGTCACACAGGGTTACAGAGTGTCACACAGGGTTACAGAGTGTCACACAGGGTTACAGAGTGTTACACAGGGTTAGTGTTATCTGTGATGGGGAGGGAGGCAGAGCAGGTCTCACTCAGCAGGTGAAGAGCCACAGTGGGGGGCCGCTCTGCTTCAGCATCTCAGTACTCCCTCTGCTCGTGTCAGGCTTGTTTATAGATGTAGACAATTTAAAGTCTACAAAAATAGACTTGTTATAGATTCTAATTGATTTCTAATAGAGAGAAAAAGCACTTTATAATTACTACACTTTTACTAGCCTTGATAAAGCATGAATGAAGATGTATGATTCAGTTAAAAAGCTTAATTAATACCCTCACTTTCATTATGAAGTCAGTTCTTGGCCATGCTTTATTAAGACTAATAAAACTGAATAAGATTAACAGAGGCAGCAGTTAAAGAAATCCACCTCTTTTTAATGCCCTTATATATATTGTAAATATGAACTGTGCATCTTTTCTGGTGGAGACCTGATTATTTCTAAGGAGGTGTTAATGCTTTGCCTCGACACAATGTGAATGGCATTCATCATCTCATACCTCATAGAGACAACAAAATGACCTGGAAAAGTCAAGTATATGTTTTGCAATAAAGACCCCTGTAAACATGTAAATGTAAGACATGTATTAAAGATATCAGTGGTACATTTGTCATTTATTTGTCCTACATTCCTCTACCTTCTCACATAACAAGCTCCATTGAAACTAAGCACTGGAGCTTAGTTAAGACATCACATTTTCATATAAACACTGACAGTATAAAGCTGTCTTCTTGATAAAGTATTTCATTTGGGTTTTTTGCCTCTGCACCTCTCCGCTCCCACTGTGCTTTCATGTTCCTCTCTCTGATCTCTGCCTCGGCGCGACCCGGGGAGCACGATCTGAGCTGCTCCAAATCAAGCTCAGTGGATGGCTCTATCCAACCAGGCAGCCAGACCTATAGCCACGGATGCTGCAGTGTTTGGCAAAGCAGGTTATTCCAGTTAAGTCCTGGAATAACCTTGTGTCTCTTTCAGTTAAATCCTCTAAGTGGGTTTGTGTCTTGTTAAATTTCTTTTACAGATTTTCTGAGCTGACGCTTTATTGTGCAGGACTGAATGAGAAATGGGGAGAGGGGAGAGAGAGGGGAGGGACATTCAGCAAATGTGACCAGGAGCCAAACTGAAAACCCAACATGGTGCTCTGTCTTAAACCATTCCACCCAGTGAGCACAGGCTCAGGTCAGACTGGAGTCTGTATTCTCTGTATCTATATTTCTGTGAGTGGTTCAGTAGTTGTAATAGAAACTGAAAAATGAACACATTTTTGATGTTATAATTTGAAGAGATCACAAAGTAAACAGATAAAGTGGACAGCTGAGCTCATAGCTTTGTGAGGTTCTCTCTACTACACAGGAATAACTAATGTGATTGTGAGAATATGATATTTCCCCTTTGTTCATCTGGCCTGACAGAGAAGACAGAAACATGCTTTATGATTAGAGACATGCTGTGAACCAGAGCATCTTCAAAGCTGCTTGTCTCCAAAGAGGTAGATAAGTTTAATGCTGCACTGTGGAACCTTCCAGATAAAGCAACATCTTCACGGAGATGTTGCTTTATCATAGTGCAAATATGAAGGCAGATTCTAAAGTGCCCATTTGAAACAACAGACTTTCAAATGTTTCTGTGAAGCCCTGCTGAGTATATTTTTGTTCTTCTCTGGTCCTAATCCTTTACACAGCAGCTTTAGTGTTTGAGTGTTTCTGCTTTTACATGAAATGGCTTGTGGAGGTAAAGAGACTTATAGAAGCACTGATTGCTCCAGGCCCGTGTCTCTTTGTTGGAGCTTGGCCTTGATCATTTGTGCCTCTGAGCGAAGTCAGAGTACACCCACTCACTGTGCACACGAGACAAGACACGCACCATTCACACACAACTGTACAAAGGAAAGTGCACACGCTGGACAAGCCAAAAGACAGGACGCTAACCTTTCCAACTCCACCTGCCAACTAAAAGGAATATTATTCAAATGTGGATTTTGGTTGTCATAGGGCAAGCCTTTTGGGTTTGTCACCAACAGAAATGATCAGGTTCAACATTTACCTTTTAGATATTTCATGGTCAAGTACAAAGTGATGAATAAGGAAAAGTGTCTCTTGCCCGTCATCTGAGTATATCATCACATTCTAGAAAACAACCGATAAAAAGTACGTGCTTCAGAGTTTTGCATATACATGTGTCTCCCTTAATGATGGACACTTTCTGGTGGAGGCACTGCCACCTGTTAATCTTCATGGAGATGCTGGTTGCCTGAGCGGCCAGTCTCTTCTACATTTTGTTCCAAGGATCAGACAAACGTCTGTCCTAATGTGAGACAAACCAACCGCAGCCGCTTATTTGTAGCATGTGTTTCTCAAACATGGAACACATCTCCTTTTGAAAATTTGTGTAGCAAATGTAAATATATTCCTTTATAACAGTTTAATGCTTCGGTTGTTGATTTTGCAGAAATCTTCACTGTTTCTCAGTCCTGTTCTTTGTGTTTTCTTTTTCTTTCTTTTTTTGTGTAAGCTGCTGTGTTTGTTTAGATAAACTGTCAAATCGTGCCCAGCTCAATTCTGCTCGTCTCTGTAAAGTGCTGTCAAGGCCTGACCAGTCAGGTTATTTGACATGCCATAAAATGTTCAACTGTAAGGCATTAAACATATGCATCTCCATGGAGACAAGCAGGTGGCAGATCAGAAAAGTTACATAGTGCATCTTTAATAGCAGAAGTGGGTTATGGTGGAACCTGTTTAAATATACATCACAGGTTTGTCTGTGCAGGGAGACAGTGAGCAGGCAGCTGCACAGGCCCAATAAAGAAACACACATGACCTACATCTCTGCACCCAGTGATGCCGGGCGCAGTGCCGCACACAGCCTACAGGGGGCAGAGCTGTCACCACCGCACCTGCTCTGATGGAGGTGTGGGGAAAAGCTTATGTTATCATGTCACTGAAAATAAGGTACAGAAGAAGTGTGAGCAGAGGTGGAAAGTAACTGTATATACACTGTGCTCACTTGTGTACACAGGTTTTAGAAGAATAAAAAATAGGAAAAAGTCTTCAGAATATTGCGTAGAGCAGGAAGCTGAAGAGCACAGGAGGACTCGGAGTACTATTTATAGCAGCAGTGTGCTGAAATATCACTACATTGTCATACTAAATGTATATTATAATGATTTTGTGGCTGCTGTATCCATATATTGAAAATCTGTATTGTTTGGGAAATTGTCAAGAGCGATCATGGCTGTAGACCTCCACCCAGAGGACCCAACACACAGACCCCTCCCAGAGGACCTTCACATGACTCACCTCCATCCACAATTGCCTGAAAGTAAATAAAAAGCGACCATGTCAAAAGAGCACCGGCTGATTCCTGAACGCTGTTTGCAAAATAACATTACTGAAGTTGATATTGTTTTATACTAAAGACAAGCCCCACCTCTGTTCCTCACCTGAACCATTACAGACCTGAGTCTAATATTAACCAGACACAGAGTCTACGGCAACAAACTACAGTCACAGACATTCACAGACAAAATGCTATTTGTTAAAATGTTCAAATGTTATTTGCACTTACACAATTGTAAGCTACAAGGGTTAAATGTTTTATGTTAGTGACAACAAACTGCTCATTTCTCTATGTGAGCCGAACCGAGATAACACACAGATACTTCAGATTAGAACACTTTCAGAAATGTACTGGGGATTAAATATACAATCTTTGAAGTGTTTGTAAGTGCAAACATTCAAAAGAGCTTTCAATAACATTTAATTATGAACTAAGGCAAAAACTGATAAAAAAAATAAATAAATGTATTTTTTGGACGTCCATTAGCTGTGGAAGCACAGCTATTCTTCATCTTTTATGGGGCATTTACATACATAATTGACATCATAATAACAAAAAATAAAAAATAAAAATAAATACATAACATACTAATGAATTTGCTTATGAAGAATGAGTTAATGAAAAAGTTGAGGGACATGTGGGTGGAGGTGCATCATGGTGGAGGTCTGCGGGGTAGGGTGCTCTGGGTGAAGGTCTGCAGCCAGACATATTTCTGTCTTTGTATCTTTGCGTGTCTATGTTTTAGACCTCTACATATATTTCACATAATATATGGGATTGTTGTAGCCCACAGTTCAAATCTTCTCTCAAAGGTGAATGCTCCTGGATATGTTTAGAACACATCAACTAAATATAGATGTGCAAACACAAGGCACGAGCTAATCTAATTGAAATTGCAATTTGTTTCCAAGCTTTGTTTGAGCATCCTTAGTTTTTAACCATTTAATTGTGCAAACTTTTTTCTGGAGGCGTTTCACCACCTGCTTGTCATCCAGTTTTTTGTCAGTGTTCCACAGTATGGCATTAACCGTATCTATCAAGATTTAATCAATTACAGGCGCTCGGTCTGATGGTGACAGCTGCTTGGCTCTTTCACTCAAACAGAAAACACTCCACCTTGTGATATCATGAGGTAATACAGGACGTGCTCCACTGTGTTTTTAAACTCCATACAACTTCATTAAAATCAACTGGATGAAGAGTTACTCACCATCCAGACATGGTGAAGTCTCTGTAGAGCATCCTCTTCCCCACCTCCTTCCTCTGCACCCTCCGAGGGAACTCCAAGTGTGTGAACTCATTCCCCAACAAGTGCGGCTGCATGTAGGCCTGTGAAGTACACACACAAATACTGCATAAGACAAGCTGCATGTAGGCCTGTGAAGTACACACACAAATACTGCATAAGACAAGCTGCATGTAGGCCTGTGAAGTACACACACAAATACTGCATAAGACAAGCTGCATGTAGGCCTATGAAGTACACACACAAATACTGCATAAGACAAGCTGCATGTAGGCCTGTGAAGTACACACACAAATACTGCATAAGACAAGCTGCATGTAGGCCTATGAAGTACACACACAAATACTACACAAGACAAATTCTACATAAGACAAGTGCACTGAATTGAGATTAGGATTGAGTCATTTCTTTTATTCAAGACGTCTAGAGCCCGTCCTCTATCAGGTCCTCTGAAGTCCACGCGCTGCACTGTGAATGATCATTGTCACAGACATTGTTGTACATAAAAGGTCTGTAGCTTTACATTTCAATGTATTACACAGTGTTGGGTTCATTTTAAATCCATTCTCATAGTTCTATGGATTTATCTGGAGTTTTGACTGCATGTTTCTATTCTCTTGCTGTTCTTGAACTGTGTGTTGCAGCACTGTGGGACAAATAAAGGTTCTTTTATCTTATGAAAGCGTGAAAATCTTTAAAATGTTAAATTGCAGTACGTAAAATCATACTGAAAGACATTATTATTACTTTTTAATAAGATTATTGTGATGAATCAATACTGGAAGAAAATATGCTAAATTTTTTATCATATCACTCGGGCCTTCAGTGAAAATACAAGAAGAGACAGAGCTGTTACATGTACAGCCTTTGAATTACACAGACAAACACATACAAAACATAAGAGGGGCTAAGACAGCCTGCAGATAGGAAAAACTCTCCAAGAGTTGTAATGAGCAGCTCCGTAGAGCAGAGGAGAAGAGGAGTCCACTAATATAAGGCAGCTGGGGTTTGTACTCAGGGACTGCGTTGAGTTTACACACTGAATACACTTTACTACTAAAGTGAGTGTGTGCTGCCTCCATTGCATTTTCAAGTACAACTGCAATTTCAAGTACAATGTGACATCACACAAGACTGCCCTGATTAAGGAGTTTCTCATTAAAGGGGCAGAGTTTAAATGTGGATACTAATCCCACTGTTCCTCATCTACAGCCAAACCTCCTCGTCAAAGCCTGATCTCGTCACATCTCAGAAACTGAGCAGGGCTCAACCTGGTCAGGAGACCTCTGGGAACACCAGGGGGCCCCAGTGACACAACCTGTTCTTGTGTCTTTATGCAAGATACTTCACCCACTTTGCCTAGTAATAATGGTAAGTGTTGGTGGTGGTCAGAGAGACCAATGGTGCAGATTAACAGCCTCGCTTCAGTCACTCTGCCCCAGGGCAGCTGTGGCTACAATAGTATCTTGTCACCACCAAATGTGGAGTGAATGAATAATGCAGCCCCCCCTCACTTTCCCTTTGGTCTCACAGGCACTGTCCAGTTTAGCAGCTCTTTGAAATGTGGTTGTGTTTAAAGGATCCACATGATTCTAGTTCTGATCTGTGTTCTAATCTTGTTTCTTCATCACAAACAGACCTGGAGTGTGTTTTGTGTCATTCACACATGTTTAACACTCAAAACCCGGCACATTTAGTTCTTCTTTCAAACTGAAAAAACACTCTGTTCCACCTTGTGTTGTCATGTGGTAATACAGGACGTCCTCCGTTGTGTTTTTGAATTCTCACACCTTCACTAGAACCATTTGGATAATTTCAACCCTGGAATTCCCAATCTCTACTAAACTAAAGGTAAAAGGTGTTAAACTGAAAACTACACATGACATCACAAAGGGGAACAGAGCATGTTGAGCTTTGGAGATGTAAACAGGCTACATATAAATGGTTATTCAAACATGTGTGAATGAAACAAAACACAACTCCAGGTTTGTTTTGGATGAGGTTATAACATAGTAATATGGTTTAAACATCAGTAGAGTCCCTTTAGCCTAAGGTAGAACCTTTAAGTGATATGAACAAATATAAGATTTCCCTACCAGGAACTGCAGCCTCTGTCTCTCTGACTCTGGAGTGAACTCTGAGGACATGGGGATGACCTCTCCAGACCGGATAATGATGGCTCTGAGGAGAGAGTAGCACCATTTCAATTAGGGATGTAACAATAACAGAAATATCATAATATTGAATCGTCAAAAGTATATTGTAAAGTAATATCGTGGACCATCACAGTATATCGAATTACAAGTCTCTTTGCTTAAATGAATAGTTATGGTGATTTGTATGATTTTCTCTGTGAAAAAAAACAGAGGGAACTACATAGACCATGATCCTTTGGTGTTGTCAGTGCAGACTACATGAAGAAACAACTGTTATTAAGCACTTTTAAATCTTAATTCTTCACATTTTAACAGCACCAAAGGCTTTTCAAGGCATTTCCAAAACTTTTAAAAAGAAAAAGTAGCATTATCACAATTTCGTGAGCCTCCACAAAATATTACAAGAAATATCGTACCGTGAGATGCATACCGTGAAAATATATCGAGGGATTTTAATATAGTTACATCCCTAATTTCAATACATCTCATAATAAACTCTATTGAAACGTCTTATGTCTTCTTCTTATAGCAGCATTAACCACATTGTCTTATCACTTCTGAAGAATCAAGGTCCTTTATATCATGATGGAAGGTCTCATTGTGACAGATGTACAGATTGCGCTCACATGAGGCACTCTTTACCTGCGCCGTCTCCTGATTGGTTCATTATTGTAACAGTCGTAATTACCACGATCCTGCTGTTTACCTGCTGTCCCCTGCGTTCCCCACGTACAGATTGCCCAGTAAATACACCACTGCCAGCGCCGTGCAGCCTCCAGAGATGTTGTACAACGTCTTCTCCTTCTCGATCTGGAAGTCCTGAAAAACACACATTCAACACACAACTGTCATTTAACCATGTCGTACCACAGTAAAGACCTGTAACGATGGATTCAGACGACATCACAACATTCTATACACCGATATTATTTCAGACAGATGGGGACCGCGAAAATAAATATTGTTCAACTACAGATTTCCATTGCAACAGTACAAATATCTGGGACTTGTTTTGGATGAACATCTTACATTTGATGAAGGAATCAAAGCTCTGTCAGAGTCAGCAGGTCGAGCCTTAGGTGCACTGATAAACAAAGTTAAAGCGTGTCGTGACCTGGGCTACAAAACCTACACTGAACTGTCCAGGGCCTGTATCTGTCCTGTTCGGGACTGTGGCGCTGGAGTCTGGGGTCACTGTAAACACACCCACAGTGAAAAAGTTCAGTGCAGAGCTCTGAGGTACTTTTTAGGCGTGCACAAAAAGGCGCCTAAACTTGCTCTGTGTGGAGATCTGGGCTGGAACCATGTGAAGTGAGACACATTTGTGACATGGTGCAGTTATGGAACAGGTTGGTTAATTTTTGCCAGACACAAGATGAACCAAACATGTATTTAACTGGAGTGTGTTACATAAATCGTCCTGGAGTAGAGAGATGGAGAAAATTTTTGAGATTGCAGATCTCCAGTTTATTTACAGAAATAAGTGAATCTGAAGTGTCAGACAAACGAGGAACATTTACTTTGATAAGTATAAACAAAAGTGGCACAGACATCTTCTGTAAACCAAAATTAAGAACATATATCTTAATTACAGACTGTTTTGGACCTGAACCATATGTCAGCCTGAACCTGAGCAGAGGTCAGAGGTCAGTATGTGCCCAGTTGAGGTGTGGGACTCTGCCTCTGGCCTTGGAGACGGGACGATTCCACTCAGTCCCAGAGGAGGAGCACTTGTGTCTGTGCGATTTAAAGGACATTGAAAATGAAATACATTTTTTAGTTTTACTGTCCTTTGTATCATGACCTTTGCTGTCACTTGTTGTCTACTGTGTCTTGCTGTTGGTTTGTTGTGTCTGATGAGGAGAGACTGAAGTATTTGTTTAAATGTATTGTTTTTAAGTTGGCTCAGTTTGTGTTGAAAGCCTGGGACCTCCGTAAGAGGACACTTTATGTTTGATGTGTGATCTGTCTGCTTCTTGTTTTATGTGTCTTATAAGTCCATGCGAAATAGGCACCAACTAAATGGTGCATGACACTAAATAAATAAACTAAACTAAACTAAACTAAAAACTCCATTGTAACACAGCACGGCCTTGGGTCTAGTCAATAATAGACACGATCAGGTTCTATATTTGGGAATTTACCTTTCTGATATTTCATGGTACAGTGCAATTAAGAGGAAAAACTGTCTCTTGCCCCTCATCTGGATGCAGGATATATTCCCATTCTAGAATCTGAAAAACACCAGTACTTTCAGAGGAGGCAAGACACATGTTTCTGTATTGATTACTTTGCCATGAAATATCCAAAAGGTAAATTCACAAATGTTGAACCTGGTATTTTCAAATATTAACTAAACACAAGATCTCACTGTTTTGCAACACAATTTTGCATTTTAACAATATTTATTTTAGCTGTTTCCATCTGTATTAATTAATGTTAGAATATAGAATGCTGGGATGTCATCAACCCAGCAAAAAGGCACAAACATACGACACTGGCGCTGGGAACAGGTCCTGACTATAAACAGGTCGACCTGCATCACATGTTAGACTCATTTAACTAAAACACAATGAAGACCATCATCATATTAAAGATTTATGCAGAAGAAGAAGAAGAAGAATATGCAGATTGAATTTTGGTATGCAAAGTTTTTAATCATCTTGCTCCACCTCCTGCAAAGAAGTTTATGAAAAGAAACTCAAATCGGACATCATGAGCAACTCTAGAGGCGACAGCCCTGTGCTGTTTAGGAAAAATGTTTTTGGACACACTCTTTTGCTCATCGAGCAGCTCAAACATGGAATACCATGTCTGTTCATAATGTACGAGCTGCAGCATTTACTAAAGCTTTAAAACAGCGGCTACATATCACCATGGTTAACACCATGTTTTTTTTGTTTTAAATATATATATATAATATATATATATATATATATATATATATATATATATATATATATATATATATATATATATATATATATATATATATATATATATATATATATATATATACACATATATATATACATGTGTGTACATAGTGTGTGCGTGTATATAGTATGTTGCGTGTACAGTGAGTGTGTTGTGTGTATAGTGAGTGTGTTGTGTGTATAGTGAGTGTGTTGTGTGTATAGTGAGTGTGTGTGTAGTGTATGTGTGTACAGTGAGTGTGTTGTGTGTACTAGTGTGTGTTGTGTATAGTGAGTGTGTTGTGTGTATAGTGTGTGTGTAGTAGTGTGTTGTGTGTACAGTGAGTGTGTTGTGTGTACAGTGAGTGTGTTGTGTGTAGTTGTGTGTGTAGTGTGTTGTGTGTACAGTGAGTGTGTTGTGTGTACAGTGAGTGTGTTGCGTGTACAGTGAGTGTGTTTGTGTGTACAGTGAGTGTGTTGTGTGTAGTGTGTGTGAGTGTGTTGTGTGTATAGTGAGTATGTTGTGTGTACAGTGAGTGTGTTGTGTGTATAGTGAGTGTGTGTGTGTGTCAGTGAGTGTGTGTTGTGTGTATAGTGAGTGTGTTGTGTGTGTACAGTGAGTGTGTGTGTGTGTGTGTGTATAGTGAGTGTGTTGTGTGTATAGTGAGTGTGTTGTGTGTATAGTGTATGTTGTGTGTGTGTGTGTGTGTACAGTGAGTGTGTTGTGTATAGTGTGTGTGTGTTAGTGAGTGTGTGTTGTGTGTATAGTGAGTATGTTGTGTGTACAGTGTGTGTGTGTGTATAGTGAGTGTGTTGTGTGTATAGTGAGTGTGTTGTGTGTATAGTGAGTGTGTTGTGTGTGTACAGTGAGTGTGTTGTGTGTACAGTGTGAGTGTGTTGTGTGTATAGTGAGTGTGTTGTGTGTATAGTGAGTGTGTTTGTGTGTATAGTGAGTGTGTTGTGTGTACAGTGAGTGTGTTGTGTGTGTATAGTGAGTGTGTTGTGTGTACAGTGTGTGTGTGTTGTGTGTATAGTGAGTGTGTTGTGTGTACAGTGAGTGTGTGTTGTGTGTATAGTGAGTGTGTGTTGTGTGTATACAGTGAGTGTGTTGTGTGTACAGTGAGTGTGTTGTGTGTACAGTGAGTGTGTTTGTGTGTATAGTGAGTGTGTTGTGTGTACAGTGTGTGTTGTGTGTATAGTGAGTGTGTTGTGTGTATAGTGAGTGTGTTGTGTGTACAGTGTGTGTGTTGTGTGTATAGTGAGTGTGTTGTGTGTACAGTGAGTGTGTGTGTGTGTACAGTGTGTGTGTTGTGTGTATACAGTGAGTGTGTGTTGTGTGTACAGTGTGTGTGTGTGTGTGTGTGTATAGTGAGTGTGTGTTGTGTGTATAGTGAGTGTGTTGTGTGTACAGTGAGTGGTTGTGTGTGTGTAGTGTGTGTGTGTTGTGTGTATAGTGAGTGAGTGTGTTGTGTGTACAGTGAGTGTGTTGTGTGTGTAGTGTGATGTGTGTGTTGTGTGTATAGTGAGTGTGTTGTGTGTGTGAGTGTTGTTGTGATGTAGTGAGTGAGTGTGTTGTGTGTATAGTGAGTGTGTTGTGTGTATAGTGAGTGTGTTGTGTGTATAGTGAGTGTGTGTGTGTACAGTGAGTGTGTGTTGTGTGTATAGTGAGTGTGTTGTGTGTGAGTGTGTGTGTACAGTGAGTGTGTTGTGTGTGAGTGTATGTTGTGTGTACAGTGAGTGTGTTGTGTGTACAGTGAGTATGTTGTGTGTACAGTGAGTATGTTGTGTGTATAGTGAGTGTGTTGTGTGTATAGTGAGTATGTTGTGTGTACAGTGAGTGTGTTGTGTGTACAGTGAGTGTGTTGTGTGTATAGTGAGTGTGTTGTGTGTATAGTGAGTATGTTGTGTGTACAGTGAGTATGTTGTGTACAGTGAGTGTGTTGTGTGTATAGTGAGTGTGTTGTGTGTGTAGTGAGTGTGTTGTGTGTAGTGAGTGTGTTGTGTGTACAGTGAGTATGTTGTGTGTACAGTGAGTATGTTGTGTGTACAGTGAGTATGTTGTGTGTACAGTGAGTATGTTGTGTGTACAGTGTGCTGGTTTTATGCACTTTTGTGTGATTGTTGTTGTACTTTTATGTGTCCTGTAAGTTATTTCACATCAACCTGCCGAGGGACCGAAGATGGAAATGAGCCACATCAGCTATAATCTTGACATATTTATATTTTAAATGTTCAATATGTGCTATATCAGCCCAGGGACTGTTACACTGGGTCAAAACTGCAAAAAAGGTTTATGTTGGGTGAACAGAAATACATATATACAAGTAGAATTATAGGCGCTATTTAACTAGTAACTTTAAAGGTGCTTTATGGAATATTCCAAAGTATATCATCTTAGCTTATCCATTTCCATGGAGAACTCATCATCAGACTCACTAACAGCTTCATCCTCCAGGCTGTTAGGATGCTGAACAGGAAGCAGAATCTGTGTCTCCCTAAAGAACTTTGTACTTTACCATTTATTTTATTATTATTTAATTTAGAAGATTGAGAGTGAGAACATAATTACAATTTTTCATATGTTCATAGGGAAATTTTACAATAAACTTTTGTAATTTAATGAATTGAAAAGCAGGATGCCATCAGGCCAAGTTACAGGTCAGGTCCTGGCTTAGTCCTGGTTTAGTCCTGGTTGAGTTCTGCCTTAGTCCTGGTTCAGTCCTAGTTTAGTCCTGGTCTAGTCCTGGTTTAGTCCTTGCTTAGTTCTGGTTTAGTCCTGTTTAGTCCTGGTCTAGTCCTGGTTTAGTCCTAGTTTAGTCCAGGTTTAGTCCAGGTTTAGTCCTGGTCTAATCCTGGCTTAGTCCTGGTTTAGTTCTAGTCCTGGTTTAGTCCTGGTTTAGTCCC